CTAGAAAAGTGCAGTTAATACGTGTAATGCTGTCATGCATATCGTTTCAAAATAAAATATTCAGACATGGAAAATAAATCATAATAATGAAGCAAGGTAAGTTGTTCACAGTCAGAAATTGTCACAAAATAAAAATGTTTACAAGAAAAACTACGCAATGCAAACCATGTGTGTACGGAAATAAGAAAAGACATGGGCACTGTGAGACACATTTAAGCAAATTACAACCAGTTGTTGACATGCATAAAAAGGTTGTAATTTGCTTTTCTTATCCATGTCTTTTATTTTGCACCCACAATTCACCTTATCCCCTTTTTCTTATAATTCATTACCTAACTATTGGCTCATGCAAAACTCTCACAAATTAAATTAAGAAAGCACCAAAACTGCAAAAATAACAATAATGTTTTTACATTTGTAAACAACAATAAAATATACCTCCTGTTCTTACCAGGGAGTTGAGTTATTCCAAGTATTGAGGAGGGAAGCAGTTAAGGAAGAGATAAGCTTTATAAATACAACAAAAATCAAACATTGGTTTTGTTTTTACACTGATACATTTTAAGATTAGGACTTCAAGCATGATGAATGAATTGTTATCTGGTTAGAAATGTCAAGAGAATTCCTACTCAGACTAAGAGGGGATATCTTTCAGCACTTTTGAAACTGACATGCAAGAATTTAAGAATGGAAATGTTCTTGCATGAATGCATTGGAACAGGTGTGAAAGCATCCTGCATTGAAAGCTCCATTGAGATTGAAAACTCCACACAAATATGGCATTTGAAATGCATGTTTGTAACAATATAGTTGTATGAATTGTGTTTACTATTTCCACAAAAAAAGTAAATTAACAATTGTGTTTAAGTGGATCACAGCACTATTTCACTCAATGATGTTACCAAAACCTTACAAACATTGTGCAGTAGCTTTTCAACCCAAATGTTAATGCCACAATCTAGGAGGTTTGCTGTTGACTTTAGGCTTACAAGTGTTATTGTTTAAATAAAAAAAGAATGTAAATTTTGCCAACTGATTGGCCATTCAGAGGATATTTTTAAAGTTACAGTTGTGTTTGACAAAATAATCTTTTCAAACCAAAAACTTGCCCAGAGACAGAAACAATGGTAACTGCAGTACATCTGTGCTTTCTAGGTAAGTGGGTACTGATAGATTGGAAGGGGGATGCAAAGGCACAGCTTTCCAAGCAATGGCGCTGTCCCAAAACTTTTGAGCTAATACTGGATTCTCTCATTAATTTCTTTAAAAATATGAGGTGGTTACAAAAATTGAAAGCAATTGTTTGTTTCACATATTATTAGTGATAGAACTGAACAGCATCTTGGTATATTTATAAAATTATCCTTAAACTATCAGGTATCTAATCCCCAATAAATAAAAACTTATTACACTTCAAATAGTGTTAAGTGCCATTTAACTGATAATTTGAAGGTAGATGTCAACAGACCAGATGTTTCTATTGGCAATGAGAGCTCAATGTCATCAGCATTTTCATTTTGCTTAAATGTACATTTTTAAAAATGTTTTCATGGGATGAGGGTGTCACTGGCTAGGCTAGCATTTATTATTACCCATTCCTAATTTGCCCAGAGGTTAGTGAAGAGCCATCCACATTGGCGTGTGTCTGGAAGCAAAAGCAGGCCAGACCAGGTAAAGATGTCAGATTTCCTCTCCGAAAGGAAATTATTGAACTAGATCAAAAACAAAGTTGCTGGAAAAGCTCAGCAGGTCTGGCAGCATCTGTGAAGGAGAAAACAGAGTTAACGTTTCAGGTCCGTTGACCCTTCCTCAGAACTGATGGTGGCTGGGAAAACATCAGTTTATATGCAGAAAATAGGGAGGTGGGTGGGGTAGGGAGTAAACAATAGGATAGAGCTCAAAGAGAGAGAAAGACATTTGGACAGACAAAGGAGTTGCTAACGATCAGGCTGCAAGGGTGAATAGTTGTTAATGGGGACTGTTAGTGGCTAACAACAGGGGGTGTGTAATGGCAGGCTATGTGGTAACAAGGCCTGGTATGTGGCGGGGGGGGGGGGG